TATGAAGAGAAAATTGTGTGTGTTTTGGAGATCTAATAGTAAGGCATGATTCACAAGGGACATTTTTTGTTGAGTAATTCAATGAAGTTTTGGCCCTAGTGTGAAGAATTACCTCCTGGAAAAAAATTGGGATCTCAAGTGCCTCCTAGCAATGGACAATGCACCTGCTATCCTCCAAACCTGGAGGGACCTAATTCTGAAGGATTTGGGGTTCATCACAGTAAAGTTCTTGCCCCCGAAACCACTCCTCTCCTCCGCCGAGGGGACCAGCAAGTCATTTAAACTTTAAAAACTCTACCCCAAAGCAATGTTTGAAAGGTGTTTGAATGTGACCTCAGACACTCACTTGACCCTACGAGATTTTTGGAAAGAACACTTCAGTATTCTCCATTGTGTAAGCCTTATAGGTAAGGCTTGGGAGGGAGTGACTACCAGGACTTTGAACTCTGCTTGGAGAAAATTGTGGCCAGATTGTGTCCACAAGAGGGATTTTGAAGGGTTTGAGGCAGCCCATGATGAGCCTATGTCAGTTGTGAACTCAATTGTCGCACTGGGGAGTTCCATGGGGTTGGATGTGAGTTTGGAGGATGTGGAAGAGTTGGTGGAGGACCACAACGAAGAGCTGAGGAGCTGCAAGAGCTTCAGCAGGAAGAGCAACAGATCGCATCTCAGAATCTTGCTGCAGAGGAGGAGGAAGAGAGATGGAGGAAGGTGCCTTATTCAGAAATTAAGGAGATTTTTGAAATGTGGGGTAGGATGGAAAGATTTATGGAGAAACATCACCCAGAGAAGGATGTTGCAAGCCATATTGGCAACTTGTACAGTGACAGTCTTGGCCCATTTTAGGGAAGTTTTAAAGAGATGCCAGAAACAGAGCTCTCTGGGCAGTTTTTTTGAAAGACAGGACTCCAGTGACTCTCAAGGTGGTCCTAGTGGCATTAAGAAACAAAGAAGAGAATTATTATTATTATTATAATCAAAACAGAGAAGAGAAGTAACCCCAGAAAAGCAATTGGTACCCGAGGTGTTGATGGAAGGGCATTCCCCTTCCAAACAGTAAATAATCCAATCTGTCTCCTTCTCCAGTCTTCCATACACAAAGAAGAATCACCAATAAAGGTAAGTGTTATTCTGTTAATGTTTAATTTATCATGTGCCACTGCATTGTTTATGTACTACATCTATATTTCATGTAAAAAATTTTTTTGTTTTAATACTTCTGGGTGTCAGGAACGGATTAATTGAATTTACATTATTTCTTATGGGGAAAATTGATTCGTAAATCGTCCATTTCGATAATAGTCCCACTTCCAGGAACGGATTATGGACGATAATTGAGGGACCACTGTACTAGTACGCCTAAATTCTAGCGCCTTCAAATCTAGCGAGAGAAAGCTGGTAGGCCTACGTATGAAAGAATGGGTCTGTGGTCAGTGCGCACAGTATAAAAAAAATCCTGCAGCACACAGTTTGTAATGAGAAAAAAAAAACTTTGACCGTATTTTTGGTTTAAAACAGCAACTTTGCACTCTATGTTCGTATGGTATTTATGGTTGTATTCTAGTTTTCCTGTCTTATTTTATAGAATGGAAGACATGTTACAGAAATTGAGATGAATTTGATTGGTTTCACAATGAAAAGTACCTTGAAATTGAGCTCAAAGCAGTAATAGAAATGTTCGATTTTTGCAAAAGTTCAAAAGTAAGGAAATCATGCCACGCGTCCAATACACGTCAACTCGTGAGTCGAATGTTCTTTCACAAGTACGCTGATATTGTTTATACCATTTCTACACTAATGTAATAGTCTGCATTACAGTAAATCTAATTTTTGTGAGAAAAATTCAGAGTTGAAAGCGAAAGAAATGTAAGGGGGGGCTGGGGACGTGACTAATGAACAGAGGAAATGTTAGTGCCAGGAATGTCTGTCTTGTTTACTCTGGACCCTATTTGGAAATTGGCATCTTTTGAAATTTGTGTGAAATTGGCAAAATTGCTAAATTCTGACCACTTTATTGGATAGTTGAAATTGGTAAATGGGTAGTTTCTTGTACTCATTCGATAGAAAAAATTGAGTTCTAGCGAAATAGTTATGATTTTTGTCAATTAGTACACTGGAATCGGCCGAAAATAGGGCTCAAATTCGGCGAAACCGCCGATGCGTAAACATCGTCGAGACCGCTAACTTCACAAGAGCGTAATTCCATAAGTTTTCCATCAAATTTCATACTTTTGGTGTCATCATGATCGGGAAAAGATTCTTTCATATAAAAAAAAAATTTATTTTTTTCCCCGAAAAATTTTCGACCCTGAGAACAAGTTTAGGAGAGGGCCTCTCGGCCCTGAAAGGGTTAAATGTCATAGAATATTATGTGTAGGTGGGGTGGCCTGGTATGGTAGCCCGGCTGGCTACCATACATACCACACCTGATTTCTTGGAATAAATACTACTTGTCTCACCCTAGATTAAGACTTCAAATATTTTAAGGTAACTAATGAGTGTACTATGTGTATTTTACTTTTTTATTGTTTTTAATGCCTAGTTCTATTGCTAACTTAATATATGTTAGTGTAAAATTGTTATCTAGTATTTGTGTGCATTTATAAGTGGAAAAAAAGGGTGTTCCACTTTACGGCGAGTTCCACTTTACGGCGAGTTCCACTTTACGGCGGTAGCCTGGAACCTAACCTGCCATATAAGTGGGGCCCTACTGTATGTACATGCATTGGACTTAGATGAACAAATGGACTTAAAACGACCGCTCAGAACTGAACCTATTTGTAAGTAGGGGAATATCTGTATACAAATACAGTGGTACCCCAAGTTTTGTACAGCTCCCAACTCAAACAGTTATGTAAGTGTATTATTGTAAGTGCTTTTGTAAGTATATTTTTGGGGGTCTGAAACGGACTAATCTAATTTACATTATTCTTTATGGGAACAAATTCGTTTGGTAATGGCACTCGAACAGCCTTCTGGAATGAATTATGGCTGAAACTTAAGGTACCACTGTATGTATTCCATAATCGAAGACAATCCAAAATCAGAAATACTTCGGTCCCAAGCATTTCAGATAAAGGATTCTCAACCATACTAATATTGTTTCTTCTGATTATCTAGTATTTTTAGGTAGTATAATTATAATTAATGCTTAGCGTTTATAATGTTCATAAAATGTTCTTAATTGTCAAAAACGCTTAAATTCACATGCCATGATTAGTGTTAAGTACTTTGTGAGGACTTTGCCTGGCCCATGACTGGACTCAGAGAGTAGATAAACTCTTAAAACTCTTCAAAGGTATATCAAAGGTAGTCTAGCCAAAATGTTTCAGAGAACAAGGGGCTTTCCATACAATGTATGATGATGTACACTGTACTCATAACTTAAACCAACATGATACCAAGTACACTGCAAACCTATCATTTGTAATTTCTGCACATATGCTGGTGATTTTTTTTTTTTGAGTGCATAACAAAAAAAAAAGTGGAAAAAAAAAACTTTCAAAATGCCAAGAGAGGGAGCCAGGAAACATCATATTTTGCTATTATTGGGTTAAAGGGTTGTGACAGTCCCTAAGCTATCTACTATTATGACCAATTAGGGATTGACACAACTTTTCAACAAACAATGGTTGACCCATCCATAACTAAATGGACACTCTTGTGCAAGCTTTCTGTCCCACTAGCACTGTTTTATAGAACATGGAGGCTTCCCCCCCCCCCCCTGATCATAAAAGAATTAAATGAGGCACCTTTGTTTTTGCTCACTCCACACATTTATGTACATGGCAGCAACTTTGATATACCTTTGGTGAGTTTCGAGAGTTTTTCTACTCCAGAGCCTGGCCATGTGCTAGATTTATCTGGTGCTTGCCTGGTCAACCAGGAAGATGTAATGACATGATTGCAAACAAACCATACCACTGGTGGGGGCTTGAACCCACGGTCTCAAGTCTGGAGTTTTACGACTCTATGGCCGTGGGTTCAAGCCCCACCCGTGGTATGGTTTATAGTAATCCTGGTTACCAGTTCTTGACTGAAGAAGTTCTTCCTAGCTACAAAGAGAGTAGTGATGCCAGAAAAAAAGGATCATGAAGTTAGCAGAAATGTCCCACGAGAAGCAGTTGATGATCTCGTCAAATACACTGACATCTCGGACAAATTAGATTTACAGGCCCATATCAACTTTTGCAGCTTCACAGAAATTGTCATAGAAATAGAAACAACATGGCAGAGAATATAAACTGGATATATTCATGAAACCTGTTGCTGCTTTTGTCTCTTCATCCATCTACAAGTAGGCCTAAGGGAACTTTATAGTTTCTCTGATTCATAATAAGTTATTCTCAGTAACCATCATACAGTCATGGCAAAATAATCTCATTTATCCACCGTAAAAGTGTTTAGTACTGTGTAAAAATTACTCTTCTGTACTTTTAACACCTTTGTTTTCTATGTTTAGTACTGTGTATAGGTGTCTGCTGTAGAGTACTGTAGTGCTTTTATTTTGTTATACTTAACATTTGTTTGGCAAACCTTAGTAAAGAGACGCCTGAGCAAACACTAGGATATATTTATTAGAAAAAGTTTTAGTCCTGGGACTTAATTGCTTCCAGTGAAGTGTTCAGTGTGTTTGATATACCGAACTCTTGGCATTACTGGGCGCCCTTTTTCCCACATTAGTCTGCTAAATTGGTGTTGTACCGTATATACAACATACAATATTTATATAAAATGTAAGCTAAATTTTACATGCCATGAATGCAACATGAGTATTGTAAAGAACCCAAGGACACAATACTGTGACTGGTACAATACTGTGACGATGTTTCAGTCTGATTTGGATCATTTACAAGTGCGACTTGTTACTTGTGTACTAGTACTGTATATTTCCTACATTTTCTATGATGTTTTAAAAATCATGCATTATATTAAAGTGCATATATAAGCATGGTAAATATTGCTGGGATGTTCTAATTCATATTGTTTCCTTTTTCTAGGATTCTATTTGCTTGAAAAGAAAATTATGACTCGTATACAAAGTGATACACTATTGAACTTACTGGAGAAACTGAATATATCCGAAAGTCAAGTGAGTGAAGATGAACTTTCGTCCACCATAACTTACATCATCAAGGCTTGTCGAGTACCTCCTCTTCAGAATAAAGATGTGCCCTATACTGCATCAGATTTTGAGGGTGTTGCAAATAATGCTGAAATTCAATTAAATGTTATTTTAAAAATTATTGAGAAAATATGTTTTGCTAAAAGACATGAACAGCATTTTACTCCTTTGTTTATAAGAAATGTTGTGGTTAATTGTTTACTTGTTGCTTGTGAATTCATTGATGAAAATTGGGAATGGTGCAATAAAATAACTGCTGCTGCATCTGCAAATGTAATAACCAAGTTGTGTGATGTTTGCAACTGTAAATCTGCGCAACAACTTCTCAATTGCTCTCCCACTGAAACAGTGGACAAATCAAGTCATAACAATGGTACTCCTGTTGCTGAAAAAGAAAATGCTCTCTATTATATAAAATTTATATTACAAAAGTTTAGTGAATTGTTCAACAAAAATAATTGGAAATTATATCCTTCCTTAAAGATGTCCTATTGGTGGATTCTTCAACATCTGAATGTAAGTTACATTTTCCTAATGCTTTTTTTTTTTTGTTTTTACATTTACAGACTACTTATATACATGTTTAATCTTTTGTTAAAATTTCAAATTAAATTGCTTAAAAAGAATTAAATATTTAGATTAACAACTGAAGAAACATCTCAAGCATCCCTGCTTCCCCTTCCTGTCCCTTAATGGCCTTTCCCATTAGTACAATGGCCTCGTGCCAGTTAACAGCTAGTATTAACCCTTAAGCTGTCCAACGTATATCTACGTTTTTTCAAAATTTGAAAGTATGTAAAAAAGCGTACAGCTTCTTCGTTTTTTTTTTGTACATCTGAAAACGTGTAAAAAACTTTGTTCTATGTTTTTTTTGTTATATTTGAAAATATGTAAAAAAACGTGGATCTACTTTTGGAGCACTACACATGTGAACGTAGATCTGTTTGGACAGTTTAAGGGTTAACAAGATAAATTTATTTCCCAAGAGGATACATCAAAGCTTTAATAGGTTGGTAACCAGTGAATTGTAAATTTGTGGGAAACTCCTGAGCTTTCAGGCAGTCTACCAGGACCTAAAAATAGATCTTGTATGTTCTCTGAAGTTGTTACAAATAATAGGTTTGAAATGGGGTAATATAATAGGTACGAACGCAGAAGCCAGTAATTATGCATTATTTGGGATAATACGAACTTACATTTGCTACAGAAACTAAGACATAAATATTAAGTAGGACATTTGGCAGTAGCTAATGACAAAGTAATGATGATGTATTGCACATATTTAAAGATCATTGTCATGATTTTAAGGAGTAATTGAATAGGGTAGATAGCTACAGCAAGTTAGATTGCAACAATCAGTAAAGGGACAAAATATGTCACAGTTATGTAGGGAGTTAGGAAGGCTGGAAGAAAAAAGGAACGACTCAAGAAGTCATTATTTACTGACTTAGCATATTGCTGATCTATATTACATTAACCTTAACCCTTTCAGGGTCCATGCATAGATCTACGGCTTTAAGTCAAGGATCACAGATTACCTTTAGTTCAGGGTCTCAAAGGAAGTGACACGCAATGAACAGGCTCAACCTGAAAAGCTGATGAACTAGTAATTCTGCTATTACATTAACCCTTAACCCTTTCAGGGTCCATGCCATAGATCTACGGCTTTACGTTCAGGATCCATGCCGTAGATCTACGGCTTTACGTTCAGGGTCCAAACCGTAGATCTACGCCATGAGCTCAGCTCACTCTGATAAGCTGTGAACAGTAAATTTGTGCCTAGATATGAGAGAATACATCTATGTGGTATGTGTGCACCACATAAAACAACTCCTGCAGCACACAGTGCATAATGAGAGAAAAAAACTGTGACCACAATTTTCGATTAAAACAGCGATTTTGCAGTGTTTGTATGTTTTTTATAGTTGTATTTGCAATTTCTTGGTCTCATTTGATAGAATGGAAGATATACTACAGAAGTAGAATTGATTTTGATTGGCTTAAGTACTGGAAATGGCTTGAAACTGAGCTCAAAGTACAGTGGTCCCTCGCTTTTCGTAGTTCTCGGCAATCGTAAATTTCACCAATCATAGGGGTATTTTCGTATAAACATGGACTCGCTTTTCATAGGTTGACTTGCGAATAGTAGTTCGTCCGGGACGCGTACGCACGGTGTGAGCAGGGGAGGCCTCCCTACCCAGCCAGTCTGGCATTGTTTACCAGTGAGTGAAGGTCCCCTCAAGTGCTCCTACGAAATATTTCATAATATTCCACTCATTTTAGCGCTTGCAAGTACTAAATAAGCTACCATGGCTCCAAAGAAAGCTCCTAGTGCCAAGCCTGTGGTAAAGAAGGTGAGAAATATGTACAGTGACAAAGTCTTGGGCCATTTTAGGGAAGTGTTAAAGAGACGCCAGAAACAGAGCTCTCTCCACAGTTACTTTGCGAGACAGGACTAGAGTGACTCTCAAGGTGGTCCTAGTGGCATTAAGAAACAGAGAAGAGAAAGCAATTGGTACCTGAGGTGTTGCTGGAAGGGGATTTCCCTTCCAAACTGTAAACAATCCAATCTCTCTCCTCCTCCAGTCTCCCATACACTAAGAAGAATCTCCAATAAAGGTAAGTGTTATGCTGTTAATGTTTCATTCATCATTTCCCATTGTATTGTTTATGTACTACATGTATATTTCATGTGTGTGATGAATGGTTTGAAAAATCGACAAGTTGAAGATTGAGACACTTATGCAGCATATGGGAATCTTTATTCAGGAAACGTTTCGCCACACAGTGGCTTCATCAGTCCAATACAAAGAGGAAGGCGTAAGGAGAGGAGGAGTATGAGGTAATCAGTCCCTCAGCCTGGAGTCGATGTGTTCAGTCCATCAAGATTGATGGACTGAACACATCGACTCCAGGCTGAGGGACTGATTACCTCATACTCCTCCTCTCCTTACGCCTTCCTCTTTGTATTGGACTGATGAAGCCACTGTGTGGCGAAACGTTTCCTGAATAAAGATTCCCATATGCTGCATAAGTGTCTCAATCTTCAACTTGTCGGTTTTTCAAACCATTCATCACAACTGTCAGACACTGCAGCATCATGGGATCTTGTTACAAAGAATTCTTCAACACTTGTTCAACCTTTGGATGAAGACCTACTTCGACTAGTGGATGGTACCACTATGACCCCGCCTCCGCCTGCTTCACGTCACCTCACTACAGTATATAAGCCACGTCTACGGCCCTATGCTGTACATTCTACAAGATTGATGGACTGAACACATCGACTCCAGGCTGAGGGACTGATTACCTCATACTCCTCCTCTCCTTACGCCTTCCTCTTTGTATTGGACTGATGAAGCCACTGTGTGGCGACACGTTTCCTGAATAAAGATTCCCATATGCTGCATAAGTGTCTCTATATTTCATGTAAAAATTTTTTTTGTTTTAATACTTCTGAGTGTCAGGAACGGATTAATTGTATTTACATTATTTCTTATGGGGAAAATTAATTCACAAATCGTAAATTTCATTTATAGTAGCTGCTCCAGGAATGGATTAATTACGAAAAACGAGGGACCACTGTAGTAGAAATGTTAAATTTTTGCCGATGTTCAAGAGTAAACAAATGACCCCACAAGTCTAATACATGACAGTTGGTGGGTCTAATATACATTCACAAATGTGGTGATATTATTTATACAGTTATTACAGTATTGCATAACAGTAAATCTTCTATTTTTTGGTTAGAATAAAAATTCATTGTTAATAAAAAATCAAATGGAATTCATTTGTAAAGCCTGGAAATGTAACTAATGAACAGAGGAAATGTTAGTTTAGTGCCAGGAATGCCTGCAATGTTTATCCTGGACCCTATTTTTAAATTGGAATATTTTGAACTTTGCATTAACCCTTTGACTGTCGCGGCCGTATATATGTCTTACGAGGTACCGTGTTTGACGTATATGTACTCATAAATTCTAGCGGCTTCAAATCAAGCAGGAGAAAGCTGGTAGGCCCATATGTGAGAGAATGGGTCTGTGTGGTCAGTGTGCACCATATAAAAAAAATCCTGGAGCACGCAGTGCATAATGAGGAAAAAAAAACTCCAACCGTTTTTTTTTTTTAATTAAAATGCCGACTTTGTGGTCTATTTTCGTATATAGTATTTATGGTTGTATTCTCATTTTCGTGGTCTCATTTGATAGAATGGAAAACATATTATAGAAATAGAGGTGATTTTTATTGATTTTACTTTAAAAAGAACCTAGAAATGGAGCTCAAAGTAGGGGAAATGTTTGATTTTTGCTAATGTTCAAAAGTAAACAAATGATGCCATTGTCCAATAAATGTCCAAATAGCCATTTTAATATGCAGTCATGAATGGGTTGATGTTATTTATACAATTATTACAGTATTGCAGTAGTCTGCATAATAGTAAGTCTTCTATTTTTTGTTTGAATAAAAATTCAAAATAGAAAGCAAGAGTAATATCAGAGGGGCCTGGAGACATGACTGATGAGCAAAGAAAATGTTATTTTAGAGCCAGGAATGTCTGCACTGTTCATTCTGGACCTTATTTTGAAATTGTCATATTTTTTAGTTTTTGTGAAATTGGCCAAATTGCAAATTTCTGACCACATTATTAGGTAGTTGAAATTGGTAAATGGGCAGTTTCTTGTACTCAATCGATAGAAAAAATGGAGTTCTAAAGAAATAGCTATGAGTTTGGGCGACTGGAACATTGGAATTAGCCGAAAATAGGGCTCAAAGTGGGCGAAATCGCCGATTTGTAAACAGCGCCGAGGTCGCTAACTTCGCGAGAGCATAATTCCGTCAGTTTTCCATCAAATTTCGTTTTTTTTGGTGTCATTACAATCGGGAAAAGATTCTCTATCATTTCATAAGAAAAAATAATTTTTTTTTTTTTTTCTAAATTTTGCGACACCAGGAGACACCTCAGGATTGGGGGTTGCGACAGTCAAAGGGTTAAATGGGCCAAATTACCAATTTCCAGTCACTTTATTTTGTTGAAACAGTTGACTTGGAAATTTCTTGTGCTCAATCGATAGAATAGAAGTAATACTAGTGAAATAGCTAAGAATTTGGTTGACTGGAATACTGTAATTGCCCTAAAATGGGAGAGTCGGCAAAATCGCCGACACATCAAAATTTGCGAGAGCATAATTGTCAATTTTCCATCCAATTTCGTACTTTTTGTTTTATTACCTTCAGAAAAAGACTCTACTATTTCATAAGAAAAAATAAAAAAATTATTTTTTTTAAATTCTTGGACCTTGGTGTGCACTTTGAAATTTGGCCTCTGGACCCTGAAAGGGTTAAACTGTCCAAACATAGATCTACATACATTCACATGTGTATTGCTCCAAAAGTAGATCTGTTTTTTAACATATTTTCAAATAAAAAAAAATATAGATCTAAAGTTTTTTTTACATGGTTTCAGATGTAAAAAAAAAATGATTACATTTTTTTACATTCAGATGTTGAAAAAACGT